ACCAAGTTCAGCAGTCGTTGCCGTGGATGGTCGGATTCCCTTGCCGCAGCCGAGCCATGCTGTCTGAAGATGCGTTTAGATGCCAAAGTTGTTGCCAATCCCACAGAGGAAGAGACAAGAGGCATCTCAGGTGCAACTTTGCCTGTAGTGGTACGACCTTCTCTGGAAGGTCATGTGACTGACCTCAGTCTGGGACTTTTGATGAGCACTGTCACGGGCCTCATTGACCTCATAGAGGATGAAATTATACCACAACCTTTACCCATGAAGGTAATATTTTACTTGAATGTTCTGCATCGAATTTGTTTTACAAATTGAATATTATGAACTCAAAACAAGATTCATCATGCCATTTACTGAGGAAGCATATGGAAAATATGTACACAAAATTTATCCTGAAGGATTTTGGTATGGTATTTGTCCTTTGTCACAGGTGCTGGTTGAGCGGATTGGCCTGCATCTGACAGAGGATAGAGTTCCTGCAAACATAACATCTCCTGGGTCTGTGCCCACCCAAGTGTGGATACCAAGACTTCTTCTAAAGAGGGATACAGAAGGGGTCTTCACCATTTTACCACAGCCAGAGGGTACACAGGAATTCCCTTCTGTATTTTATTTTAACTGGATATTGGTTCATTGGTTCATTTTTGTACTTCACTTAAGATATAAAGACATTACGGTATTGTGTTTGATAGTGATAATGTCAAGTTAGTATTTCATATCTTTTCCTCTCATTGGAGGACTTAGATTAGTCAAGTTTTTGACATTTATGAATTTTAACTAGGTATTCATTAACAGAAGATTGATAAGAAGCCCTTTAATTTAGCTTTTTTTTTATGAAGAACTTCAGTATGTTGTGTTGTTGAAAGTAGTGACTTTGACTTGGTATTAAATAGCATACTGGTTAAGATAATTTTAACTTGGCATTAGTTACCATTTCACTTTATTTTTTTGTTTTTTTGTTTTACTCAGAGCCCAGTGAAACACAGCAGCTAAGGCAGAGATGTGGAGAGCTGGAAGAGGAAGTGCGGCAGTTGAAGCAGCAGTTGGAGAGGGCAAAGAAGGGGAATTTGACCTCTTAAAGCCTTGCCCCACAACCAAACACTGCCGAGGCTTCCCAACCCGCAGCTCATGCAAGAGCTTCCTGATTCAAGTGATGTGTGCATTTTCATGTAGGGACAGACATTCGGTGAAGGTTTCGGGAAATTTTAGGGAAAAAGTTCCAGGAGCCGAGACCTGAAATATTTTGTGATAATACAACCTCATTATAATGGCCAGTTCTGTTTTAGAAAAGATGTTTTGCTTTTAATTTTTTTTTTTTTTCTTTTTTTAATTATGTATGTGTTTAGCAGTTTTATTTTATTTTACGTGTTATTATCATTGTTTACTTTTTTCTTTATATTAAAAGGGACATGGAAGGACTGAGGGAAGACTTGCCATAATTCAGTGAGTTGTTTTTTAGTGTAGAAAAAGCAGAAAGGGATCCTCATAAGAGTATAGGAATGCTTTCATGTGTAAGTGTTTTCAAGGAGTATAATTGAAGAATAGAACACTAGCATATTAGATATCAGTGTCTCACTAGTTATGTGTGCACTCAGCAGAGATATACAATTAACTAATAACACTGGGCATTATGAATAAAGTTGGATGCTAGTTTAATTAGGGTTGTAATAGAATTTAAAAACAGGTGTGAAATAGGCAGGTCACTGAAAGTGATCAAAAGTTCTAATCCATACCAATATTATGTTAGGGAAACCAGATTCATAGTAATATAAACCGATATTATAATGGCTTAATAGATCTTTGAGATCTTATTGCAAAGTAGTGTCATATTAGCATGCCTTATTTGACAGTGTTGGTCATATGTCTAGTCCAAGTACCTGTGAATCCGTCATTTGAGAAATGTACTCATGTAAGTTCTAGGATCAGTATACTCATGACACAGAAGCATTTTAAGAAATAGCTCTTTGTATTTTTTTATTATTATTATTATTATTATTATTCTGTTAGCTTCATGAATTTGAAACTGAGACAAATCCATCCACAGTGATAGCTAGCCATATATATTTCTCTCTCTCTCTCTCTCTCTCTCTCTCTCTCTCTCTCTCTCTCTCTCTCTCTCTCTCTCTCTCTCTCTCTCTCTCTCTCTCTCTCTCTCTCTCTTTCTCTCTCTAACTTCTTTCCTTTTTATCTGTCTCCTTTTTTTTCTTCTTCTTTTTTTTTTGCCTTTTCAATCTTGTCCAGTTATGACAGTAGATAGAACTCTGATTTGGAGTACTTAATCTGACGATTCTCTAGGACATACATAATTGTGGGAGGTATATAATCTTTCTCAAGGTTTACAATACCTCAGCAATAGTCGAGATACATTGTCATTATGTGTTCAGTTGAGGAGAGCACTGCTGATAACATATAGTTTATGAATTGGAGAGAATTTGGTGAGTGTTACTATTTTTACATTAACTATCCCTGTCCACTTGGTACTCCATTATATTTTATTTATATGTATATATATATATATATATATATATATATATATATATATATATATATATATATATATATATATATATATATATATATATATACACACACATATATTTGATGAAGAGAAAGATAGAAGTGGGCTTTTGCAAAAGAGTACAAAATTATCAAAGTATTTTAATTGCTTTAAAAACATACGAGACATGCAATAAGACAAAAAGCGAGGTAATGGTCATAAACTGACCATACATTGAAAATAGTGAAACTTGTATTTGAACGCTACCTTTTTTGGTGCTAGTTAAGGGATTGCTTTAAAAAATGAGTATGCTACATTGTTATCATTATGTTCCTACTACTATTTTTATAGTTTTTATTACTTTTGTCGGTGTATGTCATATTCATTATTCATTTTCTGAGAATATTAATGATCATTATTTTTATGAATAACATATAAGGTTTCTTTTCTTTTCTTTTTATTAAAATATTGAAAGAAGCATAATATCTGCAATTGCAAGTGCTGGTAACCTACCTTTTTTTTTAAGCTGAAAATATCTGAAGAGAACACTTCCATGTCCCTTGTTGTGTAGATAAGTATGGTGCTGATACATTTGCATTTCTTTTATGTGGGCAGCAGCTTGACAACATTCAAGTCAAACATTTATAAAGGACTTTGATTGTGTGGATGCTTGAAGTTGTATCTGTGTCTATGCACACACAAGTGCTTGCACATGTGTGTATGTGCACACCCACACATACACAGACATACATACTTATACACGCACGTAGATGTACCCTGTGCACTCACACAGGCATACATGTAGATGTAAATATCCTCAATGCACAGGGACACCCGTGCATATACACATGACCACACACACAAACACACTTTGAGTACAGTACTTGTGTCTTTCAGAGATTAAGCATGTATTTTAAGTGTAAAGTCATTTCCAGAACTTCAAATGATATGCTTCAGAAACAGGTGTCATCACCCCCAGCTGTTGTAGCATTTATAACTTATGTGTTTGATTGTGTATCTGGTTGTAGAGGTGAGTTTATGTCCAAGGAAACAAACCAGTGTTTCAGAGTGTGATGACTAAAGGATCTCATAATGCACCCAGTTCTCTGTATAAGGTTGTCATATGTGCAATAGACACCAGAAGGTTGAAAAGAGGCAATCATATCACATGTGCACACAGCCATCACTATTTTTCAAGTCAAGGGTTTCAGTGTAGTTGCTTTGAAGTAGCTTCCAGAAACCATTACAGAAAAAAAAAGGTATAAAGGAACAAGAAACATATCACAAAAGAAGGAAGCACAGTATTGCAAAAATGTTAATGATTACTTCATTGGATTTCTTCAGTGGTGTGTGTGACTCGAGTTCAAAGAGCAGTCTGCTCATTACAAATATCACCAATGGGCAGTTTGTTTCCGTGAATTCATTTGTATGATATTTTTAAAGATGACATGTTTTGAAATTCTGTGTTGAAATACAGTGGACTATTTTGGAAATTGAAAGAATTATTAAAGATGGTCAAAGCAATGATGCTGTATTATATAGAGAGTCAAGGACTGATTTCTTATTAACATTGAACATTTAGTTTCCTTCTTTAATAACTATTTAGTTTTGCAGGTTAATATCAGTTTGTATACAATAGACCTTGCCTGTTTGTGAATTCATTTCAGTGTGAGTGCATTTCAGCATGTGCATGTAAGTACCATACACTGTATATACAGAGCAATGCAAAACCTGACATTTTCTGTCCATCATTCTAAATTTTTCACTACTTTGTTTCTCCCAGTTATGTTCTACATCCTGTATTATACACTTACACCCTATGTTCTACACTTTCCATATATTGCAGCAGTTATGTAGCCTGTCATTGTTGGTCGGACTCATGTCGATGTTCATTGCTTCCCCAAAGGTGTGTAAAAACTGCCTCAAATCAGGTCCTCATAAGGAATCACAATGATGAAGTGGATATATACACATTTTATGCCATTTGTCCCATATGCTTTAATGTCTTGCCTGTCTGGGAAAGCAACTGCTATAGTGTGGAAATGTCAAGCATCTTGACTCTCCACCAGAATTGGAGTTGTAAGTTCTCTCTTTGATTTCGCAGGTTTTTCCCTTCATTGTTTAGTATTTTCAAGTTGGAAATTTTGAAGAGATTTTGTTGTCACAATGCCCAGAGTCTGGTTCAGTACATACATATTTCTTCTTTGTTTATCCATCACTCCTTACACTCACTCTCACTCTCTCTCTCTCTCTCTCACTCTCTCTCTCTCTCTCTCTCTCTCTCTCTCTCTCTCTCTCTCTCTCTCTCTCTCTCTCTCTCTCTCTCTCTCTCTCTCTCTCTTTTTTCCTTTTTAACCAAAGAAATGGAAACTTTCACACCATTTTGTTACTATGTATTTACATGACAATATTTTTAAGTTAGTGTAAGCTAATTAGTTTATATTATTGCTTTATTAGTATGAATGGCACTTTTGATTATCACAATTAGAAACATTTTTATGATTTGCTTCTTTAGCTTGCTTAGTAGATTGTTAGCTAAATAAAAAAAAACAATTTATGATGTTCCAATCAGTTTAGTTTTAAAATATAGGGAAGAAAAAGAGTCGTCAGCTATTTAACCCATTCAGTGCAGAACTTATCTGAATATATATATATATATATATATATATATATATATATATATATATATATATATATATATATATATATATATATATATATATATATATGTGTATGTTTATTTTTATATATTTTTTTTATCATTTTTCATTTTCTTTTTCTTTTTTTTCAACCCCTAACTGTTACAGATAGGGGTTCCTAATGTCAGTTAAGATTAGTGTTGTTTTAGAATGTAAATATTAGTATCCATATTGCTCATTATCAGTCAGTTTTTGGTTGCCAAAAGGTAGACCAGTTATGTGGTTCTCTCTTGAATTATTATCCCCAGGAAGTTAAACAGATTTGTGCAATAATTGTTTAATGCTCACTAGTTGTCATCTCAATATATATATTTTTTTTTAGTTCCCTCATGATATGAAATACTGCATAGAAATATGTTGTCACGTATTTCAGTGTCCAGAACTGTGTATATACTTCATGATTATGAGATTTATCTTTTAGAGTGAAAACATATATATATTTTTTATATAATACACAAAATCATCTGTATTGTTTGATATACCAAGACTTTGCACAGAAAGGGTTAAAAGTTATTTTCTTCTTAAGCTAGGAAGAGGTTCTATTGCATTAATAATTGTTCATTGTTCCTGGAAGTATGTTCTCAGAATAAAAGGTCACTTGGTAGCATGATTCAAACACAGCAGCGCTTGCATGTACTCATATAGATGCAGGCAAACTCACTCACTTGAGTACATTTTACACTAATCTTCCTCACTTACTGTCACGGTCACACAGATATGCCCTTTGCAGTTACGTTCATGTAGATTCACATTTATTCATACACAAACACTCAGGCACTAGGATATGCATACACACAAGAACACACACATAGACAGAAACACAAGAGTACATATAAACACAAGGACAAACATGTAGGCATGTGTACACACACACACATACACTTACACACACATACACACATACACTTACACACACATCACACACACATCACACCCATACACACACATACACACACATACACACCCATACACTTACACACCCATATACTTACACACCCATACACTTACACACCCATACACTTACACACCCATACACTTACACACCCATACACATACACACACATACACCTACACACACATACACCTACACACACATACACTTACACACACATACACTTACACACACATACACTTACACACACATACTCTTACACACACACACTCTTACACACACACACACACACACACACACACACACACACACACACACACACACACACACACACACACACACACACACACACACACACACACACACACTTTCTTTTATGCCATGGAGTAAGTTATGGCAGTTCCTAGACTGAGAGTGAAGGTCATGTTTGTAGGCCTAATAATTTACAGAACATTTATAGAGTACCTTTGCTTGTCCTTTTTTTTTTTAAGGTTTATTGGTATGTGCCATATATTTGCTATATCTTTTGACCTTCTTTCTTTTTTTTTTAAGATTATTTTTTCTCTTTTCTCCCTCTTTTCTTGTTTTGTTTTGTTTTTCACTTTTTTAATCTTTTCAGTCTTTTGGGCTGTATGCTGTATGGTGGCTTCCTTTTTTATATTGTCTTAGCTTGTTTTTTCTTATTTTTTCTCCCTTTTATTCTTCTTTTGTTTTTTGCTTGTAAGAAAGACGCAGCAGCTAAAAGTTTGAAGCTTTAAATACTGTTTAGGAATGTCGTGACATCTAAACATGGGTTCTGTGTTCATGTTTTGTGTGTGTGTGTGTGTGTGTGTGTGTGTGTGTGTGTGTGTGTGTGTGTGTGTGTGTGTGTGTGTGTGTGTGTGTGTGTGTGTGTGTGTGTGTATCTGTCTGTATGTTTGTGTGTGTGTGTGTGTATGTGTGTCTCTTTCCCCATTTTTCCTTCTTTTTCTGTATTCCTTCCTGTTCTTAGATGATATATTCTGATGCCAA